CTGCAGAGAGACAAAGGGGCCCCGATAATCTGCTGTTTAAGAAAGCAGCAGAATATACATATAGAGAAAATATGAAGATAGTTATTTTCAAAACACTGTTAGATGGCACAGAATGAGCACAATGAATTATTATTTAATTGTTTTTTTCATCAACGTAATTCTATCATTATTGTCAGAAAGTTTCTTAAATTGATATCTATACTCACCATCTAGTTTTAATGGCATATGCCAGATACAAACTGAATGCTTTTTATCCAATAAGTAATCATGGAAAGGTCACCATAACAAGTGAAAAACTATTTCAAGTAGCACCCAAATTCATGAGATACCTTAAACGGTATTGTCATTGTGGCTGGATTCTAAATAATCTCAATCTTTTTTGCACCAGAAGAGGTGCATAAATCATTTAAACTAAATGATAGGTCGTGTATGGAGGCCATGCTTTGCTATTAAAAAACATTTTTCATCTGTAGAACAAAAGAAGTATGATTGTTAGAGGAGTGCTTACAAAAAAGACAAGTTGGTCCAAATTGTTTTAGAGTGATATTTGATTGTGTATGTGTGTGTGTGTGTGTGTGTGTGTGTGTGTGTGTGTAAGTGAATTAAATATTCTCTCTGTTCACTGAAAAAAGGAAATGAAAGGAAAGGAGAGGAGAGGAGAGGAGAGGAAGGGAGGGGGGAGGGGAGGGGAGGGGAGGGGAAAGGAGAAGGGAAAGGAAAGGGGAAAAATGAGTCCTTTATCCCCCCCCAAAAAAAATCCCTAAGCCCTCATCTTCATGATATTGCCTTAAATACTTGAAGAAAAGCAACATAGTCCTTTTACCTCAAATTTTCTCTTCTTCAGTCTAAATATTCCTAAATTTTCTTGAACCAGACCTTACATGGCATGAACTTGGTTTCATTATCCTACTTTGCCTTTCTCAGTATGCTCAGCAATGTGTGAATTGGCTTACAATTCCCAAAATAGAGCACCAAGAACAAAACACGTCCTCTAAATATGGTCAAACAAGAGAAAAGTACAGCACAATTATGACTGCCCTCCTCTTAGGCAAGACAACTCTGAATGCATCCCTAAGATTGCTCTAATTTTCTTAACTTCTATATGACACTGTTGACTATACTATGCCATCCAATATGCTTTAGAAAGTCTGCTTTCTTTTGAGTCTCAGCAGCTGAAGGAAAACAGAGGTTCTTAAATTTGGAAATGGATGCTGAATATTCCCTTCCACCCACCACAAAGACACATACCTATCCTACCTCCACTATCTTTTCAACCTATTATCTTAGAGAGTTGCTTAAGAATATACAGTTGTTCAAGTCATAAAGTCCATACTTTCCCCCCTTAGTATTTTAATAATTTTAGCATCTGTATCTACAAGGAATTGACTTTGTAGTTCTCTTACTACAAAGGCATTAACACACACTGGCTAGATTTGAACCCAGGTTTCCTGACTCCAGAGGTGTAAAGTATGCTGTCATCATACAAAACAGTTTAAGGACCACATAAGAAAACATTGTCGTAATTCACCTTTTGCTATAAAATAAATTTCACCAATTTAATTATTCATCATATTCCTCAGGCTTGACTTGACAGAACTTTTCAATTCTCAAAAAAAAAAGAAAAAAAAAAAAAGAGAAAAAAAATCACCTCCAAAGGATGAAGAGTGGTTGCTGCTGAGCAGATTTCAATGCATATAACCAAGCAAATGTCAAATAGGACTTACCAACATGTTTGAGCCATAGAAATATCATTACAATACTTGAAAAAATAAGACCCTTCTATATAAGGTTTTAAATGAGAACACTAAAATAACTGTAAGAGTATATTTGGCTTTAAAAAAAAAGAGAGGTAACATTATTGTTACATCCTATACATAATATCGTTTTTACTATACAAAGGGTATCTTGTGAAAAAAATAATCAAATTATACTCATGGCTCTGCAAACTACAGAAATGGTCTAGAACGGATCATCTTGTAACATAGATACAGGATATAAAATTGCTCGTATGTACAGTGAAAAATATATGTGTGTGTGTACACATAGATATGTATGTATACATATACATATACATATACATATACATATACATATACATATACATATACATATACATATACATATACATATACACATACACATACACATACATATACACATACACATACACATACACATACACATACACATACACACACACAGACACACGCACACGCACATGAATACGCATACGCATACGTACGTATACGTATACATAGCTAGGCTTTGAAGTCAGAGGATCAGGTTTCATAATAGCCCTGTCAATTTCCTAGCTGTATGGCCTTGAGCAAGCTACTTTACTTATTTGGGGCTTTGTAAAAAATTAAGTGGGTTGGATGGTCTACATAATCTCTAAGGTCTAGTCTAGTTCTTCATCCATAATCCAAAACTGCCCCAATTATTTTAACTTTGATTAAATCTGTTGTTTCCATGGAACATTCATTGTTCTACCTCTCTGTGAAAGGTAGTGATGGTTGGTTTTGTTCTCTGTATTTCCAAAATATATCAGAATGATATCTTGAATTCCATCCCCTAACCCACTCCTTCAACTTCCTCCCCCATGAGCTAAGAAACACCAGATTAACACCAACGATCAGTTTATGACCAATCAAAGAACTGAACCAGTTTTTCTGTTGTGTGACACACTCATTCCACAAACGCTATCATGTCTAAAATCATAGGATCATAGCCTGTCCGCTTAAAATAAGTCACAGTACTCACCTCCTCATTTACTGATGAGGAAACTGAGTATCAGACAAGTCAAGTACTAAGTGCCCACTGATGTATAAAGGGAAGGATGCTTGACTTGGAGTCAAAATATCCAGGTCAAAGTCCCAGATCCACCACTTAATATTTAGCTTGAGTCTCAGTTTGCTCATTTACAAAATGGGAATATTTTCACTACCTCACAGAGTTTTCTAAGGACAGCATTGTGTAAAAGGAAACATTATCATTATTTGGTGTATTATTTTTTTTTACTATTTTGGTTGTTAAGTGGTACCAGTGAAATGGCCATATTTCCCACAAGCAGAGTCACATATTAAGAGAGGTTTCTTCTTTTCTCCCACTTTGTCTAATCCATGAGCTCCTCACACTTCCCCTCTTTTACCTTCTATATAGTCCAAGCTGAGAGGTCACCCTATCTCTGAGGACCTCTAGCTCTGCGCAAAAACATTACAGTGCTAGTCTAAGGCTCTAAAACCCAAATAGTGGTAACTTCTGTGATAGGAAGATAGCTGTCAGAAGCAGCAACAAAGCCCAAAGCTTAGAGTATATTAAAAAAAAAAAATGAGCCTGCTCTTCAGGCAGGAAGGGACTGGAGGACCACTCAGCTGCTTCAGTGGCTGCCAGTACATCTCCCTAGCTCAGTTTTTAATATCTATAGTCATGTTCTTCCTTTAAAGTCCCTATGTATTGCCATAGCAACTGATAAATCTCTTGACTTTTCCAATAGCTCAGGATGGATGCTGTTAGGCCATTGTTTGACAGAATAATCCCAAGTGGGCAGGATTCTTATTTCATCAGGGCTGTTTATTCATGTATTAATCCCAGTTTTTCCAGTGTTTTAAATCTAATTATCTTTCAGTTGAGGCAGGGTCAAAAAATTTGCCCTGGGCAGGAAAGCATCAGGGGGCAGAAGATAAGAGTCAGAGTTGGAGATTAGCAAATTCAGAACTACATGTGAAGAACAATCCTGGAAGTAGTCCCTAAATTGGACGCAAGTAACTTATCTGTTAGAACTAGACAGTCAAATGATGCAATGGATGGTGCTCGAAGTGAGGTCAAGTATATCTGAGTTCAAATCCTGGCTAAGATACTTACCAGTTATGTAATGCCAGACAGATCACGTAACCTCCTACCCTCAATTTTCTCACCTCTACAATAATCACAGCACAGATAATGTAGGGTTTTTCAAGAATCGAATAAGATGTAGAAAATGCTTTGCAAACCTTAAAACATCTCCATAAATGCTAACTGCTATCATTACTGAATTGCCTGGTCCAAGGTCAAAACCAGAGGTTTATAAAGGTGAACTTCCTGGAGGACAAAGCTGAATGGTGTGAAATGAATCCTCAAGCTCAGAGACCCAAAGCTGTGAGTCGTCCTGAAAGGGTCAAATTAGGAAAATGTCACTGAGGTGGGGAAGCATGAAGCTTTGAGGATGCGGTTTGTCTCATTCAAAGAAACTGTTGCTGCTCAGTAGTTCAGTCGTGTTCGATTCTTCATGACCTTATGGACCATAAGAAAGCTATGGGGTTTTCTTGACAAAGATACTGCAGTGGTATGCCATTTCCTTCTCTAGTGGATTAAGGCAAACTGAGGTTAAGTGACTCACCCAAGGTCACACAGCCAATATGTGTCTGAGGCCAGATTTGAATTCAGGTTTTCCTGATTCTAGGCCCAGCACTCTATCCACTAAGTCACCTAGTTGTCTCCTAGGTAAACAGAGGTTAAGTGACTTGCCCAGGGTTACACAACTAATAAGTGTCTAAGGCTGGATTTGAATTCAGATCTTCCTGACTCCAGGCCCAGAACTCTATCCACTGAGCCAGCTAGCTGCCATTCAAGGAAATATTGCAGGACAATGTTTTTGTTTTTGTTTTATGGATGAAGTATATGTTGTATTTTCCCCTCCACATTCATTTGACGTATATAACTGTGACAAAGGACAGGTATGAATTCCCATTTTACTAATGAGAAAACTGACAAATGGAACAGTTAAGTAACTAGCCACCAGAAAGAGAACTGATTAGTCTTAGGGAAGAGTGGCCAGCTTTCTAAATTCAGAACACTTAGAAGTGCAGGTCTCTTCCTATTACACCTGCTACTGCTTTTTAGTGCTATTACTACCAGTCTCTTTCTATTGATGAAATCAGATTGAAGCATATTATTGTAATCAAACCAGCTTATATCATGAGGTGCTTAATAACTGCTTATTGATTGAATGACTAATGGAGCTA